GGGAGAAAAGGACTTGCTTCGCGTGTTTCTGGTCTGCTTCCTTAAAATTTCATCCTCGCACGGTTTGCAGCTAGGCACCCAGGCTGCTGGGGTTACGACAGGTTCCTTCTTCCCAGGGTAAAGAATGACATTCGAAAAGAACGCCAACTGCCAAGACACGACTTTTCCGAACACGGCTGCAACTTGAAACGTCAGGGTACTTAAGGATTCTGAAGACTGGTGAGCCACCACTGCACCAGAATTTCATCGATCGTTCCAACCGTGACAGGGAGTTATTGATAAGTTTTTTTACTTTACAAAATTAAAGCTGAGTAAAATCAGTGACTTATAAACCATGACAAAAGGACAAATATTTAGTCAGAGATATCAGTTCCTCCTGAAAAAGAGTATCTACGTCCTCTCAGTGTAATTTTTCTTAAGGTATCTTACGATTTAAAATGGTTTAAAATTCACCTTAAAAATAGAAACAAACAAAAGGACGAGTTCAATTGACAAAAACTAATAAAAATAAGCTCAAATTTACTGACAGAATCGTGGGCACTTCATACAATACTTAGACTCTACCAGTTTTAAGTAAAATAAATAAGAAAAAAACTTATAATTACAAAGCCAGTCTTTCCCCTTGGGGAAACAAAAAGCCACTTTTGACCAGTTGTTCCCTACATATACATATACTGTATATTATTATAAGCTTCTTCAGAGAAGCAAAACATATTTGTCTTCCTGACACCGGATTCTAGTCATCTGTTCGTTTTTACATCAGAAAGGCAACTGCAAGTGTTGGGCCCAAGTGTAGTTCTGGTTTACGCCTGAAAAGACCACCGGGTGTTCCTTCTATGTGTGTGTATTCGACACGGGCAAATTTACGCGGTGCGTTCAGGATCACCTCCCGAAATGATCGCTACAACCTAGCACAGATTCCCACTCTTTCTCCTGCACCCCCAAGGAGTTCAAACCATTACTGGTGCAACGAATAAAGAGAAAATGCATGTCAATTACTGGAAGGCGGTTTCACGAGAGGAGCTGCTATCTCTGATCTCACTTCCTTGTTGTGTGGAACTGCACGGACGGCATGATACCTGAGCAAATAAATCAACTACCATGATAGGAAGAGCGTGTGAATCCATAGTCTTTGCTTTATTGTGTGCAAAGTGTGCTACTGCCCCCTGAGCTTCCTGCATTTCTCTTTTCTTGAAAAATCAGTGCTTGATCCTTTGCAAAATAACCAGAGAAGAAATGAGGCAGAAAGTATCTCTTCATCACGGTCCCCCTCAGTCCCGAGACTGATAGAAAAGGATGTAACCAGACTCAGAGTTCTTTGAGATATCTGATGTCAACCCGTAGAATTCTTCAATAGCTTGTGCATCAATTTTCTGCGGGGCAAAATGTAAACATTAGTACGAAAGTGAGCTCTTGGAACTGCTTCAATCCAATAAAACCTCCCACATTTCTTAGAATCGTGTCTTTCATTGGGGCTATAAAACAGCTCTGCACAGTAAGAACAGCTTAAGTTAACAGGGCTGATAATGCCAAGTACTGGTAAGAACATGAAGCAAACAGGACTCTCAGACACAGCTCGTAGGAATGTAAAACGATTCGGAGACTTTGGGGAATGTGTCACGTTGTCTTCTAAAGCTGAACACACAAACTACCCTTTGATCCAGCAATCCTATGCCTAGGGAACAGAATTTCTAACTGGACTGTAAGAAACCACGAATTCCCAACCATTCGTGACCTACGAAAATGGCAATTTCAGGTGGTCCAACCTAACACACCCAAGAAAAGTGAGTGCGCGTGTCTAGCAAAAGACACCGGGGTCATGGAGGCAGTTTTATTTCAGTAATGGGCAAAAAGGCAAGCTTCTAACTTGTTCTGTTCTGACAACGGGCAATTACAATAAAAAAGAAAACCCTACTATTGGCAACACGAATAAACTGCTAGAGACAATGATGAGCGGAAAAGGGCAGACACAAAAGAAGGCATATTGAACGAGTCCATTTATATTCAAACAGAGGCAAAACAATAATGAGAATGATAAGCGTCAAAAGAGCCAGGAGCCGGTGAAGGGGATGGTGGGGAGAAGGGAGGAAAGCTGTGAGGACGGACCAGAAAGAGGATAAAGGAGGCTCACTGGGGTGCTGAAAGTGCACTCGATCTTGATAGTGGTTAGTGTGTGTGTGTGTGTGTGTGTGTGTGTGTGTGTGCGTGTGTGCGTGCGCATGCAAATACGGGTGCGTGCACGTTCACATGAAAATTCAAGTTGTTGCTTAAGATTTGTGTACTTTATGTATATTATAACTCAATAATTTTTTTAACCTCAATTTTTTTTTCAAACAATGAAAGCTTTTTTTTTTTTTTTTTTTTTTTTTTTTAAGCTAGCTCTGTTGTCGAAAGCTTTTGTTTTATCCTAAGCATTTTAAAGGTTACCTGACCATTCAAGCATTGGGATTGCCTGCTGGGGAGTAAGAAGTAGGAATCAGATAATCTGAAGACCTCAACAGTTGCCTAATATTCGTCACCTGTCATATGAATGAGAGGCTGGGAGAAAAAAGAGAAGAGTGAAATACACACCCAACTTTGAAGAAAAATAAGAAATTCAGGAACTACTTACTTCTACAATGTCGTCATCAAACAACAACCAAAAATCATGACTCTTAACTATTGCGATATAATGTCCTCGATTGGGACCACTAAAACAAAGAGAAAGAAAAGTTAATTTCATACAATGTTTTATTAACATCATTCTTCTATGCCCGAATTTCACGTTCTATAAAGCAGCATAACTGAAACCGATAAAAATAGTCCTTACCTATCCTTCCCCAAAGTATCAAGCCACATTGATGTGAACTGGCATTCTATTTTAAAATCAAATAATTAGCACTCTACTTTGAAAGATATAATCAGCATTCTATTTATATGAAGTTACACTGTTAAAATTATTTGTCTTTTTTAACTTATTATTTTTAAAATAATTTTCAAATTTGCTTCTATGAAAAATGTAAATACATTTTTTTCTAGCATTTTGAGGGGGGTGGGGGTGTCACTGTCTGAGTTAAACGACAGAACAACACAAGTAAAAATTTTTTTCTAAGTCTTACTCTCTTCGGAAAAGTTTTCCTCTTGAGGAAAGGTACCGTGTGATAGTTAAACAAGCAAAGATATCAAATCTACAGTTATGAAATCAATCAAGCTTGACCTTCATAAACTTCTTTAAAAACAAATGACATTTTGTTAGTATTATTAGTGCTATTTTTAAGTACCTAGATCTTAGCACCACTATTGGAATGGTCTCTCCGTCTCATTTTAAACAAATCTGGAATAAAGAAATCTAGAAACTCATAAAAATGCATGTGGGACTGTTTCTTCAACAACAATAAATCCTTTGCTTTATAAAAGACGTGGTGAAGATTTCAACTTCTCCCCGTTTAAGTATGATTCATTATAAAAAGCTTCTACATAATTCTTCATTAAATTATAATTCCATTGTAATTGTCATAGTATAGAATTTGAGATAATTTTCCACGCAAAGTATTGTTAATGTGAACATTATCTTAGAATAAGCAGCCTCTGTGCCTCCTGGTGTCGGCTCCTCTGACCCGGTTGGGGGAGACGAGTACTCGAGGTGACAAAGCGACACAAACAAGAGGACCGCTCTTTCCCCACGGACGAAAACCCCTCAGAACTATTTTTTTAAGGCGGCTTTTAATTCTAAAATTCTGAAATAAGAACCAAAATAAACAGATTTTGCCCATCTCTCGGGGGTTCATCTAAAGAATCACGTGTTTATATGAGAGGCTAAGAATTTTATTTTATTTTTTGTTTTGTTTTGTACTTTTTTAAGGTGGTAGAAAGACAGAGAATCGCAGAAAGGCTGAGGAACAGAGCCTGAGAGGGAGGAGGCAGGTGGGGGACACAAAAGTTAGGCATCGGGCAGCTCGGCTTTTTCCTTCGGCAAACAGGTGGTTTGAAGAACAGACAGAAGTCGGTTACAGAAACTAATAGGAGGAGGAGGAAGGGCTGAGGCTCCTACACTTACTAGGCGCCCAGGAAGGCCGTTTATTAGGGATTTGCATCCTGAACATAAAACACGCTCACTGCAGTGGGCGTGAGTGCCTAACGCGTGCACGTGTGTCGCTTTCTGTGGGGATCAGAAAGACACCAACGCTTCCTGCCCGAGGACACGGTCAGTGCAGCAGATAACCCTCCACAAACACATTTCGGGGCAAAACAGAACATAAAAGCAGAGATACAGGCGCAGTGGAACGGACAGACGCCGTCTGGCGAGAGAGGAGGTGGGAGGGACAGGGCTGAGGACTCCAGGAAGGTTGGTTCTGGGGGGGGGGGGGGGGGGGGCCTGAGACGGGCCGAAAGGGTCACACTTAAGAATTCTGCAAGCACCTGCACCTGTTAGAAATCTATGCACCACTGAGGAGAGAGAACGCATAGCTGGACCGGCACGGGCTTGCCGAGGACGAGCGTCCTCGACGGTTAAAGGATGCAGGCAAAGTAAACCATCTACGCTCTCGTGTGAAATCTTACTACAGATAAATCTGATAAAAAATAAGAAAGACTTTTAAATGCTGTTAATCTGTATTTATTCTGAGAGAGAGAGAGAGAACGAGCAGGGGAGGGGCGGAGAGAGGGAGACAGAGGATCCTAAGCAGGCTCTGCGCTGTCAGCACAGAGCCTGATGTGGGGCTTGAACCCACAAACCGTGAGATGATGACACGAGCTGAAATCAAGAGTCAGACGCTCAACCCACTGAGCCACCCAGGCGTCCTAAATGTTGTTACTCTTTTGTTAACGGACAAATCATTTCCTGTTTTAAGAAGTGCCTGTTCTCATAAGGGAAACACATACAAACTGATAAACAACACAACACAAAGCAGTAAGTTACGGCTAGCGATACACATCTAGTAGCTACGTGAACACAGAGGCGTGGAACCAAATGTAGTAATGTTTCAATGCAGTAATATTTCAGTATACCAAAGTTTAAGGAGGAAATGATAAACGCACTGTATCTGAAACATCCATCTTGCAATCAACCTATCCTGACACGACAACCTGGGAGCATCAGGAAAGATCTACACCAGGACCATCCTGAACGCCCGCCCCACAGACCAAGAACCTTGCCAGCTCGTCCCTCGGATGCAGTTACCTTCCACAGTGAACCACCACGGCGACGAGGTCGTACATTCTGTCAGGATTGGTTGCGTCGCCAGAGGTGTTAAACAGACGAAGTTCTAAAGGAAAAACTACCCGGTAAGACAGTTTTGTGTATCGATGAAGTTGATCCATGTACTTAAACCTCTTCAGGTGCAGGGCTAGAATCATGGGCAGTTTTTTAACTTTCATCCTATTCAAATAAACACGGAGACAGAATTTCATAAAAGACATTCACACCATGTCCTTAAAAGAACTATCAAACTTTAGGATTCCATTAACAAACCATTAGTAGTTTTAATAACCCAGCACTGCCCAGTTTTGCATCTTTCTACCAATTACTTTTATATTGGCAAAGCAACATTCTGAACATCTGAAGACTATCCCACCCCACCTGTCATTGACAAACCACATAAATCTAATTCATACTCAATACGGCTTCAAAATAGATGAACGACATCAGTCCGCTGTTAAGAAATCCTTATTCTGAAATACAGGTCCCTAATGATAAGGCAAACTGCACATGATGCCTATGATTGGTGGAGGAGAACCAGTTCCTTAGAGCTGCTAACTCCTTTGGATGTGAGGGGAGACTGAAATCCATCTGTCCCATCAGTCTATATAATTCAGTAACAGACTGACACAACGAGAAAAGCATGAAAGACCATTCTGCGAAAGGTGTTTGCCAGAGATAAGAAGTAACTCCCGATTAGGAATAAGGACTACGTGTATCCTCGAAAAGAGAGTAAAAATGACCTGCAAATTTAGGGTTGAGTATTTTACTGTAAAACACTGGCTATCCTCCACACTCTAAATAATCTTTATTACGCCCTTAAATGTCATTTCGCCCCGACAGGACTCCGCACTCCTGGCTCCTCCTAATGACAGCCTATTCTTCTGAAGGCTCAGCTCAAACGCTGTCCCCACCCTACACAAGTAACCCCTCTCTTCAATCCCCCGTCGGCACTTTCTAGATTCACTCTATGCATGTACGGTTTATGACCCCATCAAATGTTTATGATGATTATGGGTCTTTCTCTTCTTCTAGGGTCTAAAATCTTGCCAGGGAGAAACCATTTTTATTTTGTTTTCATTTTCTTTCTCTATCGAGCAACGTGCCTGGCACGTGACAGATACCTGACAAGTGTTGCAGCACTGAATTCCGTATGTGTTCAATGAAGCAAAACACTTCATTAATTAAAAAACGAAATTTACTAAGCCATTGCCCCTAATGAAGGGAAAACAAAAATCATTCTGTAGCATCTCGCTAAACCTGCATCCTACAGATCTTAAATGCGGTGGGCATTTAATAGTAAATGTTCCGGAAACATTTACTATTCTACCCTGGCCTTTGAAAAACATTAGCAAGAAAAAACAAACATACTCATGCCCGGAAAGAAAGCTAACAGTGTTAAGAGTCTTTATGGCCTTTGCCTCAGTAATCCCAACTTCTAGAACTTAAATATATCCTCTCAGATACAAGACGTCTGAAAAACATTCACTTCTAGAGTTATTTTAGATCGTGAAAAACTGGGAAAATCCTAGAGACAGGCATGCGACAGAGGTATTATGGGTTCAGTTCCAGACCACCACAGTAAAGTCAGCATTGCAATAAAGCCAATGGAATGAAATTTTTGGTCTCCCAGTGCGCATAAGAGTTAGGTTGACATTATACCGTGTCCATTAAATGTGCGATATTACGTCCAGAAAAAAACAATGCAGATACCTTAATTAAAAAACACTTCATTGTGAAAAACTGCAACCCATCACCTAGGCCTTCAGCGAGTCATAACCTCTTTGCTGGGGAAGGGTCCTGGCTCACTGCTGACTGATGGGGGTAGTGATGATGAAGGTCGTTGGGGTGGCTGCGGCATTTCTTAAAAGAAGATCATCAAGTCTGCCACACGGACGGACTCTTCCTTTCGTGAACGATTTCTCTATAGCACGAGATGCTGTCTGAGAGCATTTCACCCACAGAACTTTCCTCAAAATTAGAACCAGTCTTTTCAAACCCTGCCCTGCTTTAACTACCAAGTTTGTGTAGTATTCCAAATCCTTCGTTGACACTTCAACCGGCTTCACAGCATCATCAGCAGGAGCAGATTCCATCTCAAGAAATCACGTTCTCTGCTCAGCCGTGAGAAGCAGTCCTCACCCCATCGCGTCCTATCGCGAGATCCCAGCAACGCCGTCCACCTTCAGGGCCCGCTTCTAGTCCTGGTTCTCTCGCTGTTTCCACCACATCCGCCGTGACTGCCTCCACGGCCATCCCCAACCTCCAAAGTCATCCCCGAGGGTGGGAATCAACTTCTGCCAAAACTCTTATAAAGGATATTTTGACCTCTTCCCGTTGTTCTTAATGGCTTTCCATTTCAGGAGGGATTTAATTTACTTTGCCCAGATCCATCAGAGGAATCACTCACTGTCTGTGGCACCTGCAACTTTATGAAATGTATTTCTTAAAAAATAAGAGTCAGAATGACTCCTTGATCCACGGGCTGTGGAATGGACGCCGTGTCAAAAGGCACGAAAACATTCATCTCGGCACAATCTCCATCAGAGCTCTTGGGTGACCAGGCAGCATGATCAGCGGATGGATGAAGAGCAAAATTTGAAAGGAATCTTTTTTTCTGCTTTTTCCCTGGGCAGAAGATCTCAACGGTGGGCCTCAAATATTCAGTAAACCATGTTGTAAACAGATGTGCTGTCATCCAGGCCCTGTTGTTCCATTTATAGAGCAGAGCGGATTTAGCGTAATTCTGGAGGGCCCCAGCATTTTCAGAATGGCCAGTGAGCATCAGTTTCAGGTGACCAGCTGCGTTAGCCCCTAACAAGAGAGCCCTGTCCTTTGAAGCTCCGAAGGCAGGCACGGACTTCCCTCTAGGTGTGCAAGTCCTTGATGGCACGCATCGTCTTCCACAGACAGCTGCTCTGTCTACACCAACCACCTTCGTGAACGATCTTAGCCAGACCTTCTGGAGAACCTGCTGTAGCTTCTACATTAGCACTGGCTGCTTCGCCTTTACTTTCACGTCACAGAGTCGGCTTCTGTCCTCAACCCCCACCCCTGCAGCTTCCAATTTTTCTCTTGCAGCTTCCTCGCCTCTCTCCGCCTTCAGAAAGTTGAAGAGAGTCTTGAGGGCTTGCTCTGGGTCAGACTTTGGCTCAAGGGAATGTTGTGGCCGGTCTGCTCTTCTGTCTAGACCACTCACACTTTCTCCGTGTCGGAAATAAGACTGCTTCGCTTTCTTGTCACTTGTGCGTTCGCTGGAAAAGCACTCTTCATGTCCTTCACGAACGTTTCCTCGGCACTTGCAACGTGGCTGCAGTTTGGCACAAAGGACCCAGCTTTCAGTCTGTCTCAGCCGTCAACGTGCCCTTCCTCACTAAGCTTCACCATTTCTAGCTTTTGATTCAAAGTGAGAGATGTGGGACTTCTGCTTTCACTGGCGCACGTAGGGGTCACTGCAGGGTTACTAATGGGCCTAGTTTCAATATTGTTGTGTCTCAGAGACTAGAGCAGCCAGAGGAGAGGGAAAGGGGGCCGGGGCGGGGGGCAGGGGGGGAACGGACGGTAGTGCACTCAGAGGACATACAACTCTCAAGTAAGCTCACCATCTTGTAAGGGAGTGGTTTGTGCTACCCCCAAACATTACACCAGTGACATCGGAGAGCACGGGTCATTATACGAAATGTGATAATAACGAGAAAGCATGAAATTTGGTGGGAATTGCCAAAATATGACACAGAGACACAAAGTGAGCAAATGCTGTTGGAAAAAGGGCCTCAATAGACTTGCTCGACGCAAGGATGCCATAAACCTTCAATATGTTAAAAAAAAAAAAAAAAAAAAACAGCAAAGTACAACAAAGCAGGGCACAATAAAATGAGGTGTGCCTGTACCTGTCTTACAGAAACTTCTTCATAAAAGAGGGAATGATCACCAACTCATTTCTGAGGCCAGCTGAAAGCCGGTACCAAAACCTGACAACCGTATTACAAGAAAATCCCAGACCAATAATATCCCTCACGGTATCTCAAAGATGTGACAATCAACACAACATTAGCAGATTGAATCCGGCAACATATAAACCTCCCTTGGCGATGATATTATAGTTCTCCTAAATGAAACGCTGATGTTTTCTCCTCAGGTTCTTTGTAAATAAAGACCAGTAACTGCAAAAATGGAAAGATTCCTTTATGTCCCTGAATTAACAAAGTAATCATAAATTTGTAAGGAGCATTTTAAAATATTAATAGAGCCCATTTCTCCTCCGGAAGAAAGGGGTCCTCAGCCCAACTTCAGTTTTCCGGAAATTTTAGATCTCCGCAGAAAAACGATGCTTACCAACGATGTGATTTTGAAAAACAAGCACGTCCCCTTCCAACCTAATCAGAGTATTCTGGACCGGGAACGAGAGGACTGCAGATACTATTTTCTTAGCAAAAATGTACCGCCCTCGTCGTACACCAGGTTACAAAGTCAATGCCTACAGCAGCCACCGTCAGAAGGGGTGGCGGGCACATCTTCTCAACCTGGGGCCCCACGACCCAGCGAGCAGACCCTGACGAAAGAAGTCGTGTGCCCGAGATTTATCAGAGCGCTGCTCTGGGGGCCGAGTGAGGAAAGCCGAGAGGGAAGAGGAGGAAGCCGGCTGAGGGTTGAGTCTCAGGAAAAAGCCCAGAGAGAGCAGCTCCAGCTTGGTCCCTCGGGAAAACCCTGCCTGGACTCTGAATCTCGCTGCAGATTTCTCTGGACCGTGGCGAGGTGACTGGGCTTTCACACTCTCTTCTCCACCTGCCGGTCACAGGTCACAGGTTAAAGAAATTCCCAGAAGCTTCCTTCCGCGGTAGCCCCAGCCCCAGAGGAGTCCTCTGAAGAAGAGCCAGCGTGAAAGCGCCCCAAACAAAGGAGTGGGGGTGGCGGAGAATGGGCCCTGAGGCCACTCCCTGACTAGAATACCGGCCACTCTGCTGCAGGCAAGGGGGGGGAGGGGCACCACGAAGGCGAGTTCCATATTCTAGAGCTGTCTGCTGTCTGGAGATTCCCCAAGAATGGCCAGAAACCATTTTTTAAAGGAAAATTTCCCATTTGTGTAAACGGTGGGAGCCAAGCAAAGAGGTCCACATGTACTGCGGGCCAGAGGGCACTAATATGCAAACTCTACCCCAGACAACTTTAACATCCCATCA